ACCCCTGGAGGGGTTGGCCGCGGCCGGCTGCGGGAGGGCAGCGCCTTGCCCAGAGGTGGACGAAGGCGCCTGGCCTCCACAGGGGCGGCCCGGCGGTGACGGCAAGAAGCGACGGCCCGCGGGTTTCCCAGAGAGCCTCTCCGCCAAAGCAGCCCTCAGCCTAGCCGAAATATTCAGCTACGAGACGTTTCGTACCAAACCGGAACGCGGCCTGAGCCGCCCGGGGCCCGGCCGAAAGGCCTGATTTTTTCCAATGACTTAGTCCTAACTCTAATATCAACAGCTCTTTCAGTCTTCCTGGTACGGTCGTAGGTCTCTGCAAAAAAGGAAGCCAATGACAGGCTCATTCAAATTCCAAAAAAGAAAAGATCCAACACAAGTTTGAGGAGAAGTGTTTGATGCACTTCCACATGCACAGTTCTTGAAGAAAGCTGTAAACATTCGAGCAAATGCTCTGAATGCAGAGATGGGCGTCTTCCACCTGAACAGCAACTAATCATGGCTCAGCTGGTCCTAGAAGGAACTAGGACCACACGTTTGGGGGGGGGGGGGGAAGAATAGCCAGAGGAGCAGCAGCTGCTGAGGCAGCTTCCGCATGAGAAATATAAACCAAATGATCCAGAAACCACTCAGCCATCCTGCCGAGAGGGGATTAGCAACCCTGAGAGGTTCTCCTGGCCGCTCGACACACCGATTCGGAGAGGAGAAAACCCCGATGCAGAGGCTGGCTCCGCAGAGCAGGCGTGCTGCGCCCGCGTGGCACCCTGCTCCCTCCGTTCCGCACAGTCTTTCTCAAAACTCTGCAAATGAGACCAAACCAAGGGAAGGAGCCCGTTCCTGGGCACAGGTGAGAGGGCCAGCCTGCCCAGGTGTTCCTGCCTGCTCTCACACTGCTCCATGGGCACCTGGCAAATATCAAATGAACCACTGCAGGTCTGAATGACCATTAATGCTGCAGCATTTTTGGCTATCTGCCTACCAGATGCGGAGCACAGAGCACCCTTTGTTCCAGGGGCATTGTCACCACAAGCCAAACTGCCGACTGACACAAGAGAGGTGATCAGATTCCCCTTCGCCTCCCCTCCCCATCTGTTCACTGCAACCGTGTTACGCGTGAG